TTGAGGTAAAGTTCACATAACATAAAATTAACCATTTTAAACTGAGCAATTCAGTGGCATTTAGTATATTCACGATGTTTTACAACCATCACCTCTATCTAATTCTAAAATATTTTCACCACCACAAAATAAAATTCATTAAGCAATTACTGGTACCCATTAAGCAATTACTTCCAGTTTCTCCCTCCCCTCAGCACCAGGCAACACTAATCTGCTTTGTTTTTATGGATTTACTTATTGCAATGGACTGGATTATGCTCCGCTTCAAATTCATGTGTTGAAACCCCAATATCCCATGTGACTATATTGGAGATAGGGACTTTAAGAAGGTAATTAAGGTTAAACGAGGTCATAACGGTGGAGCCAACAGAACTGGTGACCTTATAAAAAGATGAAGAGACACCAAAGCTCTCTCTCCGTCATGTGAGGACACAGAGAGAAGGCAGATTTCTGCAAGCTGGAAGAGAGCCCCCACCAGAACCCAATCATGATGGCATCCTGATCTCAAACTGCCAGCCTCCAGAACTGTGAAAAAAAAAAATTCTGTTATTTAAGCCACTCAGACTATGGTATTTTGTTAGGACAGCCTGAGCTGACTAATACGCCTATTCTGAATATTCATATAAATAGGATCATGTAACATGTGACCTTCTTGTCTGGCTTCTTTCACTTACCATGTTTTCAAGGTTCATCCATGTTGTAGCATGTATCAGTACTTTATTCCTCTTATGGCTGAATAATACTCTATCGTATGGGTACCATATTTTATTTATTCATCCACTGGTGAACATTTGAGTCATTTCCACCTTTGGGCTATTGTGATTAGTGCTGCTATAAACATCTGAATACAAGTATTTGTTTGAGAACCTGTTTTCAGTTCTTTGGGGTATATTCTTAGGAGTGGAATTGTTGGGTCATATAGTAATTCTTGGAACCATGTATTTTTGGTGATCAGATCCTCAAAGCTGTTTCTTGGTTCCCATAATGGATTGTTCCTTGAATTCCATAAGATGACCCCAGAATACACTCAATAATTTCCTTTTGTTGCTTTAGAATAGACATTTCTTACTTAAGCTAGAGTTAATTGCTATTACTTGCAATTTAGTGAACCTAAACGCACAGAGAATAAAATGCCTAATTTTTGGTCATGATATTATAAGAAAAATGGGCTCAAAGCTCTTCTTTCAAAGTTTTCCAGAGAGGTGGTCAATACCCCCTGTTGATAGTATTGTATCTTGATGAGATTCTGGAATCTGGTGTTACTATGAGGCTGTTGCTTAGATTACCACTTACCTTTGGGACCAGGCAGCATAGGACCTCACATTCAGAGCATATTCTAATTCAAAACGACTCCGTAGGGCTGCCACGTGGCTCCGGCCAGGCCCTCCCCGGCTCACCAGGCAGTCAGAAGAAGAGGAAGGAGAGAGAGACCCGCTGCTATTACTTGATGCAGGAGACATCATCTGAGTAGAAGGAGGGACAATTTCAATCGTTTAATAAATCCACCAGGTGTAAAGACACAGAATAGAATGTGGATTATTTTTAACTTCATATTCTAGGATTCCTCATATTTTAATTTCTATTCATCTCAGCTTGCTTCTGGCTTTTTCTTTCAACCTCTGGTGGCAACACCTGGATGGCTTAACTTCCTTTTCTTACACTGTTCTATGCTGAGAGCCAGCCTGTTAAACTTATGCTCATCTTTGTGAAAACACAGTAGGCCTAAATCAGATTAATAAAATAGATATTTAAAAGGTTACTATTCAATGATAAAAAGATTCTCCACATTCTTTGCTATGGCAATAAGATTCATGGCAGAGTTCCTTTAAATCATAGCTAAAATTATTCCCTTTACATAAAATAGATTTACACACTTTTCCAAGAATACATCCATTTTAGGAGCTAAAGTTTGCTTTAATGTCTGGCATGTGTCCTCTCATAGAGAAAAAGGCAATCACTTTGCCACATGATAGTTCTTCAGATGTTTAAAATCAACTGTTGGACACACCCTAATTTTCTTTTCTCTGCAGTAGGCATTTCTGGTTCCTCCAGTTGGTTTTGACATTACATGATTTTCAACTCATCAACCATTCTGATCTCTCTCCCCTAAAACGTGTGTCCCAGTTTTAATTATTCCTTTAAAAGGATCAGGGGCACAGCTAGGTACCATTTTAATTTCTTTGGCCATCTCAAAACAGAAACAATTATATCTTTTAGTCTGTAGCAAGACAGCCGCTTCATATTCTAACTCCAAAGGAACTTAAATGGTCTGCTAACATTCATGATGCTGCTAAACCATGTCTCTACCATGATACTTTTGTTATTGTTTATTTGACTCTGATGCAGGACATTATATTTACTCCTGTTAAATTTATCCTTGTTAGACATGTCCTATTACTTATCCTCCAAGATATTCTAGAATCCTGCTTTCGGATATGTTCTGTCCCTCTCAACTTTACTGTGCCTGCACGTGTGATGAACAGCACCCCCTGGACTTTGGTCTAAACCACTGGCAGAAAAGTTGAAGAGTAGAGAGGATAAAGCCTTATGGAACTCCAGAAGTCAAGCCATTTTAGTCTGACTGTGGCCCTTTAATTAGTACAAGCCAGTCCAGCAAACTCTCTTTTCATATAACACACTCACCTCTCCTGGGGAGAAAGTATACTAAGAGATTTGAATGATATAGCACAACAAGCTAGTTTAGCTACCATTGCCACTGTTTCTGGAATCCACCCCCTATCTAATGTGATGTTTCCCCAGGCTCGAAGTAACCTTGCCCAGTCAAACACAAAGTTTCAAAGTAAGAGGATACTTGGAACTCAAGCCTTAGACGCATCTCCTAACACCTAAAGCCTCTGGTAGATGCTCTTGTCCATAGAAATTGCTGAAGCACCACCAGATATACTACTACTGCTCCCCACTTTTTATAAGTTTCAGGGCCTAAGAGAAGGAAACAGAAGTTTTATGTCTGAAGACTGAAGCTTCCTTCTACACAAAGGCTTCCTCTTTAGAAGTTCCATGAAAGAGTCATGAGACAGAGCCACTTGCTGCAGGCTGCAACTTCCAATAGACTAGTGGCTCGTAATAGAGATTTTTTATTAAGGGAAGATAACTTTTCTTAGAAGGTTCCACTGTGAGATTTAGTTGTGCAATCTTGGGTGATGCTGTTTCCCCTCATTTTTGCCCCTTCTCTTCATATGCAGATGTATACATGATCCTATCTGTGTGATGTCCTTTTCCCCTTCTCCAGTGGCACTCATTTTCCTTTGGGAATATATTATTTTTGAATTAGTCCACTATTATGAATTATATTTTGAATTATTATTTTTGAATTTACCTCTCTTGCCTATTTTCAAATGCTATCTCCTGACTAGGTGTATAAAAAATTAAGGCAATTACAGAGAAAATTAAAGCAAGCAGCTCCTTGATATTAAGGGAAGAAAATTCCATTAGCCTGATTACCTACATATATCACTTTATGCAACATATGCGTGGTGTGAAAGCAATGCCTTCCAATTAATTTATGCATGTATTTTAGTGATAATTTTTCCCTTTCTTACTGAACTTAAGAGGACAATGGCTTAACATTTTAGCTTACGTTTCACTGTATGTGGGAAATTTTGTATAGAAAAAAATTGATTTAAATAATTACCTTCTAATATACTTGTTAAACTTTCATATATTTACATATGAATATTTTAAGCCAAGCATGACAGTGTCCATTTGCCTGCATAATAATTAGTTGGAAGGGCCCAGATTCACTCCGAATTTGTCTTTGCTACTGTAGATACAGCCAATTCTGCTCCAAACCCTAGAAATATAATGAATAGTGTGAATACGAATGGAGTTATGGGCTCTCACTGTAACTTTCCATAAGTGCCATCTCACCTACATTCTCTGTCACCCTTGGATATTCAGGGATTTTTTTTTATGCATGTATTTTAGAAGTGAAAGTTCTTACCTCAATGTTGCAGAGACACTCTTCTAACTTCATAACAACTTCAGAAAACTCAGGTCTTCCCTGTAAATAGAGAAAGGACTTTATTCCCTTAAGAATAAAAGAAAGGAAACTCTCTTTGGATTTTAAAATTGGGTATTTGCATTTGTAAAGAATTAGATTAACAATAAAGTATATTTTTACTTAAAATACACTTGTATTGAAGTGTTAATTGAATGTTCATTTGCTGTTCGTGGAAGGATGTTGAGTCTCTCTCTGATAAGAGTTTTAAGTCAGCATTTGTAACTACATTCAGATAATGAAATAGTGGAAAAGCTTTAATTAGCTTTGCATGTTTTTTAATGGCAGGTTTTCCTCTTAAAAAAGAAAGAATAAAAGTGAATGCTAAAAACTATTAACTATCTCAGTGCCTTATACTGCATACTGTGTGTGAAGGAGAAGAACTGCTAAAGCTCATCTTATAATTAGCTTCACTTTTGGGAAGACCATCTCAGATTCAAAACTAAGATCAAGATGGAAACCTCATGACTGCCATATTTCAGAGTTGAAGATTAGATTTTTATCTTCAAAACTTCAGTTAAAGATACTGTCCATTATGAACCTCTGTGTCACATGAGTGTGGTTAAAGGAACATTTATTGTATTCTGATTATATTTCAAGCTTTGTTCTAGTTGCAAGGGACATAAAAATGACTGTGGATCTCTGGGAAAAATTCTTGAAATCTTAGAAAATGTTGGTCTCTTTTGAAGAAATTATATGCCTCCTTTTGTCAGATCATAAGGTCTGTGTATCCTATCATTTCTCCCTTTATGGAACTTTCACTGCTAGGAGGTGGAGAGCTCAATTTAACATTCCGGTGCAGTAACAAGCTAATTTGGATTCTTAGTAGGACAGTTTCTCCCTTGATGTCTAGCCCTCCCCTGAGGACACTGCTTCCCCCAGAGCCCTCTCAAGCAGAAGCTGTTTCCTCTTGCACACTCCTGTCCCTCCAGGTTGGTGGGGCGGCGGTGGGCTGAGAGAGGGCCTGCGTCTTCCTTGCTGTCACTGTTACTTCCAAATGGTTTCTCCTGTAAACACCACCAGCTTCTCAGGCTAGTCCACAGACTCACCCTCGCTCTTCCTCTGAAGGTTTTAAGGATTGGCTCACTGTGGTTAAAACTAATGTGCTTTCATTCTCCATGCAGATAATCATTATAATAGCCTGGTCTCTGGGATCCTTTGTTTCCTCTTCCCCATGAGTTTGTCCTCTACCCTCCCTTAGTCACTTAGCTCTGAGGTCCTTCCCTAGTCCCTGTCACTACCAGTGCCTGCAACACCTCCATGTTCTCTGTCCTCTCAGTCTCCATCAAGACCACTCTCTGGGCTCCCTTCTTTCTAGTTCACTTCTAGAAATCTGACTCCAAAATCTTTGATGACACTGTACTTACAAACCATTTTACCAGTTTTTTTAAAACTTTTTATTGTAAACATTTTCAAATATGCCCTAAAGTAGATATTATTCTACCTATGATGGTATTTCATAAGTCTCTGGAAAAATAGAGTTAAAAAATAATACAAAACTTCCCATGAACTTTTTGAAGTATCCCTATGTCTATCTCTTTAATCTATCATTTCCCCTGTTCTTTCTTTCTTTCTTTCTTTTTTTTTTTTTTTTGGCTCATCTCCTCATCTTTTCACTTTCACTCACCTCACTTTTTCACTTCCCTCTTTCCTATCTTAGATTTCATTGGCAATCACTTCCAATTATCACTCTCATCCACACAGCCTCAACTCCTTTGCCCTATCTTGCATTTGTGCACAACTGAAAAAATCCCAACCTTGATTCAATCAATCCTGACCTCACTTCAAAATCATGACCCTCTAACCTCAAGTGCACCCTTAATCCTGCCCAGAGAGCCTATTACATATTTCTAGCCCATCCACTCTCTCACACTCCAGATTGCTAATTTTATCTTCTCATCTCCTCTGAAACCTCTAGCTCCCACAGCTACATTGACCTACCCACCTATATCCAAACCTACATAATCTGCTTTCACTTTTGTTTCTATGGATGAATTTTGCTTGCTTCTATCTGAGGTCAACTCCTTCACTTGTGTGCTCCAGTGATAATCCTCCCTTCTGTTTTTTTTGTACTGTTGATGTTGCCTCTCTACTGTTTTATCCCCATCAGCATAAAGACACACTATACATTCTTCCATTTTAAAAACAAACAACAAAATAAAATTCTTGACTTCTCTTCCTCTTCTGCTACATTTCTTGGTTCACATTTACAACAAAATTACTCTAAAGGGCTGTGTAAATTTGCTGTCTTCAATTCCCCTCTCCCATTTGCCCTTTACCCTAGTCAACTTTTGTCCTAAAACACTCTGCTGAAACTGCTCTTGCAAAGGCTAAAGGCTACACAATTGCTAAATTCGGTGCATGAGTCTCAATGCTCATCTCACTTGGCAAAGCATTAAATACAAGCAATCATTCCTTTGTCTCTGAAACACTTTCTTCAATTGGCTTTGAGGTCACCATTTCCTCACTGTTTTTTTCTTCTCTCACTGGCTCCTTCTTAGTCTCCTCTTTCGGTTCCATCTCTCCTTCTTACCTTTAGATTCTGGATTGCCCCAGGACTCAGTCTCTACATCTCTTCACTCTATTTAGAGTTAACTTGTTGAGAAGTTAATTCAGCCTCATGCCTTTAAAAACAACTCCCTGATCTGTATCTCTAGACCAGTACTCTCCCCTGAACTCTAAACTCACACATGCAATCGACTGCATTTCTAGGGCTTTCCCATTTCAGTAAATGGCAATTGCATCCTTTCGGCTAATTGCAGAGGCCAAAAACCACAGGATGATCTTTGACTTTTCTCTTTATTGTACTTGCATCCAATCCACCAGCAAATCACACACTGGTTCTACTTTCAAAATGTTTCCAGAATCTGAATGGTTAAGTAACATATTGTCAACCCTCCCAAATATAACAACTATAAACTCTGGACAAATGTAGAAGGCAGTTACGTGAAAGCAATGGAGAGTGAATAAAAACAGGCAGATCCCGGAGAGGAGTCACTTAGAAGAAAGGAAGGGTATGGATTAAGTTTCCAATCTTTTTTTTACAGCATTCAGTTTGAAGGTAGACCCCATCTGCATCTTCAGAAAGTTAAAATTCTGATGGTTTGCTTTCTTGAAAAACCAGAGAACAGAATTTGGGGCAACCAGAGTGTATTAGCTATCATTTTGTGACAAATTACCACAAAGCTAGTGGTTTAGAATAATGCCCATTTATTATCTCACAGTTTCCATGGGTCAAGAGTCTAGGACACATTAGCTCAGGGTCCTTTGCTCAGGGTCTCACCAGACTGAAATCAAAGAGTCAGCTGGCACTGTGATTCTCATCTGAGGCTCAGGGGCCTCTTCCAAACTCATTAGTTGTTGGCAGAACTCATTTCCTCTGGTTGTATGATTCATGTCCCAGTGTTCTTGTCAACTATTGTCCAGGAAAGACTCTCAGCTTCTAGAAGATGCCCACAGTTGCTTGCCATGTAGCCCCCATAGGCAGTTCACAACATGGCAGTTTGCTTTTTTCCTTGTCAGCAGGGCACATTCTTTGACTTTTTCCTCTGTGACTAGCTGGAAAGCTATTCTCTGCTTTTAAGGGGCTCACCTGATTAGGTCAGGCCCACCCAAGATAATCTTCCTTTAGCCATATGATGACCAATGATCACGGGAGTAATGTATCATCATATCCACAGGTTCAGTCCACACTCAATGGGAGGGGATTACACAGGGCATGTACAACAGGGGACATGAATCTTGGGGTCCATCTTAGAATCCTGCTTATACACAAAGGCAGTAGAAAGGGTGGGGAGATCCTGGAAGAAGAAGCCCCAGAACCCTTATGTAAATTCTGCCTAACTCTCTGGTTGACCCCAGAACCACACATGTATGGGGAAGACCCTAAATAGCACAGGTAGGGCTAAAAGAAATGAACTGAGATAGGATCTGCTGACCCTGCAGGATATTGTTCTCACATTGCCAGACTGGAATTATCTAACTCTTATTCTCTGCCTATGGAAATCCACTGCACTTCACAAGTCCCAACTCACAAGCGACATCCTTCTTAAAGTGTCCAAGTAATCCCATAAAATACTTTTCTACCTTTATTTAGACTTACTTTATTCTTCCTTGTGTTACAGCTAGGTATTTACATGTCTATAGCACTAGTTAGAAAGTGCTTCAAGGGTAAGCAATGGTTTATTTACTTTTGTATACCTGTCATGTCCCACCAGCTATTTTTAGCTCATGTTCTTTCAATTTGAGTGCATCATTATGATAAAAGTCACCCAGAATCTGCCTGCCTCTCATCCCTCTCTAAGCCACATCATCTCTTGCTTGTATCATTGCAACTGCTTTCTAACTACTTTTGCTGATTCTGCTCTTTGCTGATTTAAAAATGTTCCCAACATAGTAGCCAAAATGATAATTTAAAAATGTACTTTGGATCAAGCAATACCACTCACAAAAGCCTTCAATGACTTCCCATCTTGTTTGGATAAAAAGCCAAGGTGGTTGCATTCACCTGTAAGGAGCATGATAACCTGCTTCTGCTGTTCTCCAGCCTTCCCTTCCTCTTGCACACTGCAGTCTGGTTGCACCAACCTCCTCGTGCTGAACCCTCCATACCCTCGGGGACTTTGCACTTGCTATTCTCTCCACCAGGACTCACCAGTGCCTTCACTTTCTCTGGCTCTTTGTTAAATGTTACCTTATCAGAGAGTTTTTCTTGTTTTACTTATCCCATAGCACTATCACCAGATGATTTCATACATATTTTAATGTTTATTTGTTTGTTGTTTGCATCCCTTCATGGAATGCACACCCCATGAGGGCAGGGGTTGGCTGTCCACTGCTCTATCCCCAGTGCCATGAACCATTCCTAGCATGCAGAGGTGCTCTACAAATACTTGTTGAACAAATGATAGAATTAATTTATGTTTTCTTTACATTTTATTTTGTTAAACTATCTTATTGCATGGATAGAGAGTTTTATTATAATCTGTTTCATATTTTTGTTT